ACTAGATCTTATAGACGTTATTAGTAAGAAGGTTACCTATAGACTTCTCTACTAAGTTAGCGCTTACTTACCTCTAGTCTAAACTTAGACTAGAGGCTACTAGTTTTCTAAAATACTATGTCTCTCTTCTATTATAGTATATCTAAACTCTACTATCTATAGTATAGTTACGTTAGTATAGCTTTAGTAAAGATACTTCTACTTACTATAGTAAGTATAGGCCTCTAAAGCGCGCCTAGCGTTAAAAACGTTCTAGAGAATCTAGTTAGTGTAGGCGCTACTTGCGCTACGCTCTAAAGAGGCACTAGAAGTCTTTATAGCGCCTATATTTACTATCTAAATATTACTATTATAGTTATAAGCTAGAGGCGCTAAGAGCGTAAAGTTGCAATATAAACTCTCTATCTTAGTAGTCTTAATATCTACTATAATAGCTTTATACTTCTAGATAGCGCTGTTAAAATCTAAACGCTAAACGCTTTAGTTAAGAGTAACTACCTACATGCGCTTATTAAGCGCCTAGCGTAGCCTAGTAAGCTTCTAGTTACTACTCTAGCTAAGCCTACCTACCTACGCAAGAAGCTAGCTAAAGTAAATAAAAAAGTTAGTAAAGCTCTGCTTTTTACTTTGTTATAAGTAATCTAACTATACCTAGGCGTACTTCTAGAAGTACTAGTTACTATAATAGAACTTAAAATACTCTAGAAAGGTAATAGAGTTCTAATAGTTCTATTTACTAAGCTTATAGAATAGAGTAACTTTGCGCTACACTATAATTAAGAGAGACTACTAAATATAAATAAACTAGGCCTTTGCGTCTCTAATAAACTTCTAGTCTATATCTAACTTATATTTTATTATAATATGCTATAAATAAAAGTACATTTTATTACTAGTAAATAGCTTCTTTAGAGATAAGGTCTTATAGTAGAAGGTAGAGGCTACTATAGTAGTAGAAGAACTTAGAGGTAGTAGTACTACAGCTACTAAGAAAAATAGCGTAAGTACTAATAAAGTTATAGTTATAGTAATAGATAGTAATGTTGTAGAGCTAAGCGTAGAGCGTATTAAGGTAATAAGGTTACGTAGTTTCTTATTCTAGAAGCGCAACGTTACTATTATAACGTAGTCTTAGGCCTATACTTTATAGATAGCTACTATCTACTTAGAGAGCTAATAGAGTAACGTAAGAAGAGAGACCTCTAGAGACTTTTAGGTATTTTATATACTAGGTTCTACTATTATAATACTTAGATATAGCGTGTAAGAAGAAGAAATATAAATATTATAGACTAGCCTTAAAGTGTAGCTATAATAAGTATTAGTAAAGATATTATATTTCTTAGAGAGAGAGCTTATAGTAAGCCTTACTCTATATACTAAGCTAAGACTTAGGTAAAGCCTAAGCCTATTATATATAACCTCTTTTACTTTAGAAATTATATTATATAGGTAATCTACTTAGTTATATAGTATTTTTTTAATATATTTAAAGTATTTAATAGTATTATAAAGCTTAATTTTAGTCTTTATATAAGTAAAGTTATATATAAAGTTCTTAGAGGTATAAAAAAAAGTAATACTATTAAGCTTATAACTCTAGTAAGAGAGGTATATTATACTCTATTTAATATTAAAAAGAATAAAAATATATTATTAGAAAGCTTATCTATATTAAGTACTTAGTAAAAAGTAAATCTAAGTTATTAGAGAATATAGTAGTAGTAGCTTAGCTTATAGTAGTATTTATTAGTATAGTTTAAGATAGAAAGTAGTAAAGAAAATTAGCTCTTTTTAAGTATAAGTTATAGCTAAGTAGCTAAAGACAAGATTTACTAAAATATATTCTTAACTAATAAGCACTATCTTACGTAACTTTAAAAGACTATAGCATTAGCAAGCCTTAGGCGATGCTTTGGTGCTGGGTGATGACGCAGGACTCTTGCTGACTCAGCCCTACTGCCGCGCTAGCGCTCGACGCGTCTTAAGGTCCAACGCACCCTCACCTGGTTTCCCGTGAGCAACAATGCGCAACGTCACGACAGTTATTCGGCAGCACACTATATGCGAAGACCACGAATCTGCTCACATTTCTTGCGAAACCTCATTTCAAGATACTGCTATGATGTCACTGCCCCGTTTCGAACGGCACGCGTAGGTCATTCCGTCCCAACTGACCGCAAGCCAGTACCACCTTCATGGTCGCCGCGGCCTCATCCTCAATATTTCCATCGCTGTTCGCCTTTCGCGTCCCAGAGGTCGACTTCCACGCAAAAGCTCTTTTGCTGCGACCGCCGCATGCTTCCTGATATCCCGCTGGCGTTCTTTTCCATACGGCACGTTTGAGCGTCCTCGAATACTGTCTCTATTGGACCTGCCTGTATACCGACTGGCTCCTCGATCGCTCGACCGATTATTACTACGCGTATCGACATCCTCCTTTCTTTCACGGCTATGCCGCCTCGATGCATCAGCAGCCCTACGTGAATACGATGCGGTTCGAGGAGCTCGATTTCGATGTGAGCTTTGCTCGCTGGCCGAGGAACTATACTGGCGGTAGCCATGGTGGTCGCGATCATGTACGTTGGTCTGGGGCGCCTCTCGACGCAAGTGCAAGCTGGTCTGTGCCTTCCCTTTCGTGGTAGACTTTTGTCTCATCGCGGCACGTCGAAAGCCCTCAAGTGGCGACAGGCCTACCTCTGAGGGTCTGAGCTCGCTACGCCAGACCGGCAGTCTAGCTTTCCTCGCTTCCGCAGAGTTACGAGGAGACTGTTGCCCACGCCTGCTGTAGGGCGCTGCCCTGTACTCAATCATCCCTCGAGAACCGCTGTCCTGGGGCCTTACCGAGTATTTATAGATGCTATACCTCCTGTTGTTCGGGCTGGTCACAGAGTGGCCTACGTCACTAGCAAGACCCTCGCTTGCCGCGATCTGACGCCAGCCTTGACAAGCTTTCATCAGCTTCAACCTTGCTGATCCTCCGGATCTCCACACCCCATCCTCGGTCACATTAAAGTAACTGGACCGTATGGATAGGCTGCTTTCAAGTTCCGGTAGCAATGCGCCAGCACGTAGTTGCGCGGACTTCAGGTCATCCCGTTTTTGTTCCCACGCCCTGCCCAGCTCTTGCGCTTTTGTAATCCAAATGTCCTGGCGGAAGTCATCGCGAGCTTTAGCTTCATTTTCGTCGTCTGCTGCTACGGATGCAGACCCTCTTGGTCCAGTATTGTCTCCGCTCTTTGATCTAGCCTTTTCCAGCTCTTCATCGAAGTTATCCCGATACTTTCTGTATAGAAGTTCCGCTATCTCGGCAGCCTGCTGCTTTCCAGATATGTCCATCACAACTCTTGCCCGATTTTGCGGTCGGTCTGCTGTATCACTCTGACGATCAACACCGGCAGCATTGACCTGGGATCTACCATCTTCATGACGTCTTCTTGTTGCTCGCGTGATGATAGCGTCCCCTCTCTGCGGCTCAGGGTATGGCTTGAGGAACCCCGATTCTATTAACACCGGATCTAGCATGCGGTCAACGACGAGCCAAGCGTCGCGCCACGCATTTCGCTTTTCCTTGAGTTCGTCTTCTAGCATCGATTTATTATCGAGGATGATTTTCTGGTTATTTCGGCTTCGCATCAACTGTTGCCATAGATCATCCAACTCTTCCGCTTGTCTGTCGCTGGGAGTCCCGGCTTGTTCCAGCTCTTTCTTCTTGAGTTGTAACCGAAAGTCCGTGGACTCAGCTATACCAGCAGCATCCTGACCCTGCGTCTCAAATCGCTGTCGATGAACCTCAGCTTCGCTTTCGAACTTGCGGAAGCTTCTCCCAAGACAAAGTGCTCGCTGTATGCTCGCTGCAAGCTGTCTGGAAAAGACTAAGGCCTTAACCTGATCTTGATCCTGTTGAAGAGCTATGTCAACAACCTTGGGTTGATTGCAGAAGGTTGATTCGTCAACCACTGTAGTCGCCCACTGCTTGCAGGCCTTTTCAGACGACGTCTCTGGATGTGGCAGTTCGTGCGACATCTTGACATGTATTGGTGTAATGGTATAGGGTAGGTGAACACGGTTGTTGGTGGATGTTGAACGAGAGACAGTTAGCGTGGAGATGCAAGTGCGGGCCCTTGTCGTAGATCTCCGGCTGTGGAAGTCAACAAAGACAGCTTTAGCTGGAACTTTGTCAATCGTGTTAGGGCAGCTGCGTCCAAACCCTGAGCTCTGAATTTTCCGCGGAGCGCCCGAGCTTCGTTAAAGATCGAACGATAACTTCTTCCCAGGCAGAGCGCTGTCTGCAGCCCTCCAGTCAGCTTCTTGGATAATGTGACAGCGGAAACCTTCCTCAGATCGTCGTCTGCCTCTTGGGCTTGGATGACTCTTGCAGTCGCAGCAGGGTTTTGATACTCAGATGCGACTGCTCCTCTCCATTTCGCACGCGCAAGCTCGGATAATGGTTGCGCCTGCGCCATTCATCGATTTGTCCGAGTGAGTAACAACTGATAATTCTGCACTAGCATGCTCACTGCGGGCTGAGACCTGGGAGGCCCAAGCAACTTATAAAGCTGAGGAAGGCGTGTAGTCAAACAAAGGACACAAGTATTATCACTCAACAAAGGACATGAACTCGCGTTCTTGGCCACCTTGACATGGACGTAACCAAGTTCCATGTACAGCGTCTTTTGTAATTCAACGTCATCCGAAGGTTCTCAACGCCATACTATCCTGGGGCCGTGCGCACTTTCCTCATTTTCAAGGTCACGGTGCAGGCTTGGCACCACGAAGTCTTTCGGCCTCTCAAAATTCACTCCGTGGTTTAGGCTCCAACTCCTCTGGGGTTATATAAAGTCAAGTGCTCGCCCTTTACTCGATACCACCCCACCCTGCTAGCGCTATCTGTTCACTCTTGCAATCATAGTACACAAGACCAGAACTTCCAAGATGACCGATCCGGACGGGCGCAGACAAGGTACGATATACTACATTACTCTCTCAATGTCGCTGACATGCTTTCAGGTTTCAGTGCATCGGAACTTCCCCTGGTTCAATCGTACCAGCCTGTGACACCCCAACTCAACTATGACGAGGTACGATGACATCTCGCCACTATCAACAAAAGCTCCTCTGAGCATCAACCCAGTTTTGCTCACGGACCTCTTTTCCGTCAAAGCAACATTTTTAACCCAGCGAGCAAAGCTAATGTATTGAAGAATGATATAGCCCCTGCTATCCCCGCGTTTGGAACTACGCCCGATGTCTCGAAAAAGCGTAAACACACGGAAGTGACTACTGGCTTCTCTGATGACTTCGACGAGGAGTCCTACGATGTCAGCGATACTGAAGTTGAGGGTGACCCGAGCGCCGTCTTGACTGGCAGTGAGACGCATCCAGCCAAACGCCCAAGGACCACAAAGCACGAGGGCGCGGCGGAAGCATCCTACTTCACACGCCGAGTAAAGACAGATGAGGTCTGGATGACCGATCGCCTCACCTCTTTTCCTGGCAGATTCAGCGACCTCATGACGGAAGACATCGCCGAGATACTGCGGCGCAATGTGGTCTTTATCCATACTAACCTTGGTGCGGTGATCAAGGGCCTTGCAGTTCATCTGAACCCAGCATTTCACGATCGCGTATTCATGATGTTCAGCAAATCAGCCGTGAGCATCCCGCGTGCACCCCAGATGCCTCTTGAACATCGAGTCAAGGTCGGTATGGTCTTTAAGGAGCGAACAGTGGGGTTCTCCTATGACGAAGGTACTCCTCTCGGAAACGACGCCGCTGGTACTGCACTGGGAAAGGTCTCCATGGAACGGCGGTTTCATATCGTTCGCGCCATTGTAGGCGACAATGAGTTCCTGACTACGTGTGTGGAGACTCACGGTGAGCGAGGGCTCCGCGCTCCGTCCATACCGCCGGATACGTACTGGCAGTGGCTACGCGTAGCTGATGTTCGCGACCGAGACCCCACTAACCATGGCCCTCATGGCGTTCTCAAGGTGGACACAAGCCAGGCAACGAAGTCAGTTCGGATCTCGGATATGTCATACGTGCTTGCAGGCGCGTCCAGTCGATGCACACTTACGGAAGACTGGGATTTCGCCGGATATCTCGATGAAGCCAGTGTCACTCTGCTGGAGACGATTGGAAAGAGAGTGACAACATCGCAGCGAAACGACAAACTGAATCGCGAACTCTATGACTCAATCAACTGGGATGCTATAGACGATGGCCGTAACGCCATGGGTCTCGCAACGTATCCACGACCTGACCGGCGGTCACCCCCTCGTCGAACTGAGACTCCTCAACATCACCCGTATGACGACGAGTCGGACAAAGATCGTAGGCGTTCCGAGCATCGCCGCCGCTCTGATGATGGACGAGGTCGAGACCACCGGGCTTCATCTCGACAGGATCGTGGCTACTTCAACACCGCATCTTCCGAGAGGGATCGACCACAGCGTCCTCGTGATTCAGACTCCAAGAACACTGAGTCTCGGCCAGGCAAGGGAAAGAGGGCCGAGCAATATGACGACGTCGACCGAAGCAAGGCTGATGCCCCTCGCGGGGATCACACCGCAGAAGCTGATCAGTCCTGGAACAATGCTGTTAAAGGCATCACGGCCGGTAGTGTGTACATCAGCCCCAACTATCACGGCCGGCAGTCTAGAGGCCGGACCGACCGCGTTGATCAGTCCTGGAACAATGCTGTTAATGGCATCACGGCCGGTAGTGTGTACATTAGCCCCAACTATTACAGCCGAGAGTCTAGAGGCCGGACTGACCGCAAGAACGACGACGAGGGTCCTCCCGGATCGCGTGGCCTTGGTGGTTCTTACGATCGCTTCTAATGCTGCGATCCAGTACTTCCTGGAAGATTCTGGCGAGGAGAAAGCGCGACGGTATATGGAGAATGGAAGAGGGAGGAACTTGTTGGAAGCTGGGCAAGGTGAGGTGTTTGGAACACTTCGTCTCAGTGCGCTCGTCGTACATGCCTTGCATCAATGCGGGCTCAGCTGATATGAGCTTTCCAAACCTTTGGAAGCCAAGCTGGTCGGATTTGTGTAAAGTAGCAGTGTTGCTAATAGAAGATGACATCTAATGTTCTTGTGAGTGAATGCTAAGTTGCTTGCCCAGGTGCTTGTCTGTGGAGATCGGGCAGAGAAGAGCTGTTGGTGACGTCAGTGCACGGGCCATGACGCGAAGGTCACGCGTAAGCGAGAGTCCACCTGGGCAGCTTCCAAACTTCCTTTCACCACCTGTCACTGCACTTGTTCACCCTCCATCCACAACAGCAGCCCTGCTTCACTGCTTTCTCGTGTCTCTAATCGGATGCAATGGTTTCCTTCTGTACATTATGATCGCCATAAGGAGACAAAGAACCACAGGCTTGCGCGCCCAGCACAGAGGCTCGTGTGCATCGAGAGTCTCTTGTAGTTCGGTGTCATGTTGAGTCACCTGGGCAGAGCCTTGTGCTAAGACGTAAGTCCTTCATTCATTTCATTTCATGCCGCTTCTACTGCTATCTGCTCTCCGTAAAGCTCTGACTGGGGTTGCCCTTTTACTTGTGCTTATCTCGCCCAGGAGCGTTCATCGTTCATCATGTCCTGCCAGCATGATGGTCAAATTTTCGTCAGATAGTCCACTCAAGCCGCACGTCGTGTGACGATTGATTACGATCGACTTACGCCATCCCGTCACCAACGTCGCTTCTCGTAGAACTCCACCGCTCGATTTCCACCTGCGTACCGCATCACACCCGATAGTAGCATACCGCACACCATAGAAGTGCTTTCGGTGGAATACATGGCGATGAAGTTCTGCCGCGCTTGACAGTTTGCATAGTACATGATGCAATTGCTACGCACCATGTACCTTGCGACCTTGGTGTTTGGGGGCTATCCCCTCGCCTCCGCTTGCGTATAGCTCTGCTGGCATTGATTGCTATCGTCTATAAAACGAAGCCAATCTCTGTCACCCAGTGCGTGCCTTGAGCGCAGTTTCCGGCTGCGTTCGCCTCTCGGGCGACGACTCACAAAGGATTGGATGGCCTATCTACAGTGATCCCCTGAGGGATGTCTGCGTTCACCGGGGATAGCGTCGGATGATGCCGTCGCGATCGCGATACTCTCCCCTCTCTAGGCCATCACGAGAACTTCTTCGACCACGTTCTCGTCTCTCTCGATTCTGATCCAAGGAGGGTGATCGACTTCGACTCCGACTTCTCAGCCTCGGAGAATCCCTCGTTCTTTGCCCGGTCTCCCCTCGTCGATCTACAGCTTCTCGCGAGCGTAGGCGCGGACTGCTTCTTCTTCCACCTTCATGCTCTTGTCTAGTAAGTCGTTCCTCTCTTCTCCTCTCCACAGTGCGGCTGCATCTTTGGCGATTTTCTTCGACTTGATCGGAACTGTCATCTTGCTCGTCCGACCGATCGCTGTAGTACATCACTCCCGTCCGGTCCGCGCGTCTTTCTCTTCGACGTGTCGCGGCTTCCGTCGATTCTCTGCGTCTGGACCGGGGCCGATCTCTTCGTTCCCCGCGGTTTCTGCCATTCGTTCCGTCGCCGTGAGTCTGGCCCTGTTCATTATTGGTTCGATTGCCAGAAGTGGCCGCCGGTCTTCCAGTTCGATTCTCGCCGGTGCTTTCATATTGCTTCAATATGCCAGCTTCCATCCACACGTTATCTAGCAGCTTATCCACTTCAAACCACGCATCTCTCCATCTCTCTATCTCTTTCTTGTCACCTTCTTCTAGGGTGACGATATTTCTGTCAATCACGTCCTTATTGTTGCGCATGCGATGGAAGTCTTTGGCCAAGATTCTAAGCTCTTCTCTCTGCTGGTCGCTTGGCACAAGAGCTTGCTCAAGCTCCCTCTTTTTGAGCTGCAGCTCAAACTCAAGTGTTTCGACCAGACCTGCGTTGTCAAGTCTTTCTGTCTTGAGCTCCTTCATCTTAGCTTTAGTGAATTGAGTAGACAATCTGTGCTGCCGGCCCAAGGAAAGCGCTCGTTGAAATCTCATTGCCAGATCACGACAGAGTGTCAAAGCAAGGGTGCTATCATCGCCTTCTTGGATCTCTGTCAGCTTCGGACTTTTTCGCGTGTAGTTACGGGCCGCGGTTGGGGCCGCCCAACGGGCGACGATAGCTTCTTCTTTCGTGGGCGGATGTCCTGCATGGTAAGGCATCTTCACTGGTTCTGGCCGTAGAGATGATGGTGAGATTTCTTGTTCCTGTCAATTAAGATAAAGTTCGTCGATGAAAGAACGGAACGGACGGCCTTTTATATACGGCAACAAGAGTTCATACAAGCGAACAAAGGACTACGAACAAGACAAAGCATGCTTTCATGGGAGCTATTCAGCCTCGATCTTAGTTTCGTACAATATTGGATGAGGGTGCCTCGGGTAGCTCCCGCTGAAAGACGCAAGCAAAAGTCAGATGTAGCCTCGGCGACCATTTCCGTTATGAATATGCCCCTGGTATGGGAACTACTTACCTTGGACGAGCTACATCCAATCATTACCCATGGTTGTCAAAACAGCGCAACCTGCACTACGTGAAGTATGGTACGACTTTCACTACAGTCTCGAACACCGTTGACTCTGGTCACGTGCGCTGAACGCTCGAATTCATTACAGGGCACGGGTGCTCTTGCGCCACACCCAGTTTGCGCTCCACTCTACTACGAAAGAAGTTCTACTCGGGTCTTTTAATTGACTCCGTACTCTGCCTAACTACACAGCCAACGCTGGCAAAACATCACCACCCAACCAACGTCTAACAAGAAATACGGATACGAAGGAGACACTATCTTCTGGTCACCAATATTCAACACAGTGGATACCGCACACCCGCCTTAATATGCAAACATCTGGGCATGAGTCTTCGGTACGTACAAAGTCCTAGTCACCCGATTGACTGTTTCAATCTCTGCACTGCATATACATCTCCCAGCACACGCATCAAAAGCTACTGACATAACATAGGCTGACAATTCGGGTGATGACGCCGAGATCACAACTGATGTATTCGTTATTGAAGAGCTGAAGCATAGCGAAGCTACTTACCACGAGTCGAATGATAGCACTGGCAACAACCAGCCAAAGTCGACCGTCAGGAAGATTCAGCCAGGCCTTCAATTAACTTCCACGAAACGGCCTCACGAACACGATCCTGACGAAGACGAGAAACGAGTCCGCGTCAAAACCAACAACACGCCACAAAGCCCATCAACATCGGATGGCCTACGCACACCACCTTTAGCACACTCCGGCGGACAGACCCCGGATATCTTCCGGATCATGGCGGACGTTGCAGCGGTCACTGATGAGATTGTTGCATCCATGGAAGATACATCTTCGGCAATCAGTGACCTTGAACGTAAGGCCGTACTGAGTCAATTACGAGACGTGCTTGGTATGCTTGTTCCTTGCGTGACTGAGGTCCGCGACATAGGAGTCCTGGGTGTTGAGATCGTTGGGCTTGCAGCTCTAGTAGATCCCTCGCTCGAGTATGAAGGTATATTTACTATCATCGCGTCGCCCTATGCCAGCAGCATTCCGAAGCGGTTGGAACTCGATTATACCCATCACTTCGCAATCGGAGATATGTTTTGGGATCGCTCGACAGAGTTCGCAGCCGACCAAAACCTGAAGCCGGGTATAAAGGCCGCCCCAAGCCCACAAGGATTAGTTTGTGCTGCCTGGCGTCTGCACATTGTCACAAAAGTGACTCCACGATGTATTTGGACGACGGTCTGCCGACTTAGTGGCGGAAAGGGGCTGTCGCGTCTAGACAAAGACGACATCTGGATGTACTTACATCTTCACAGTTATAAACACGGAAGACTGCCACGAAGCATGCGAGCTAAGCATAACGATTCACTTCACGCGTCACTGATATATATTTCCGACCCGGATTACGATGACAAGGCTATCGGTGCACACACACACTTCTCTGCAATAGATGTAGTACCACACTACCCTAGCGAGGAGATGTTACCTGTGGGAAAGCTTGATAAGGACAGTCGCGACCTTTTCCTTGGACTGAAAGCCAATGCAAACAGCCCAGATGGAAAACTTGTCGCACACCCAAAAGGGATGGATGAGGCTGCGGTGAAGCGCGGCCTTGAACTGGTAGACCCCTATCCTCGGAGTGCCATGCCTCTTCCAAAGGCTGAGCGAACAGGTAACAGGTTGTTCCATCAACTGCGCATCCATCCTTCCAAAGGGACAACCGCGAGAGATCCTGTGAGAGATCCCGCAAATCTTCTCCAAAAGTCACGCGCGTTCAGCTCCGCGTACTCAGTGACAGCTCCCAATGAGGAACAAACCCGGTCTTCGGTTGATCGCCCTCGGAACCAACCCGTCAATAAGGTCAGTCCATTCAACGTCATGCCTCACACTCTTTTCAGCCCAGTATCGCATCCACACCAGCAAACATCAGCGCATGAAGCGGATGCGGTGAGGGCAGGTCGAAGATTTGGGGGCGAAAGGGCCGGTACTCCAGCCACCGGCCAACGGGAAGCTCCTTCTCATGCTAACACCATGCCCAAGATCGCTTCGATTACCACCCAACCTGCCATGGCACAAACTTTACATCAGCACGATGGAGTAATGACCAATGCCATCCTCAATGTGACAGAGCAGAACCAATCCCTCAATCTCAACCACCCGGTATCAAGCCCGCAATCCAGTCCAGAGAGGAAACGTACCGATGGGGATGATTAGCTCTGCTCGTAGCTACGGAGTGGGCTTTGAAGGTGAAGTATTTGGTTGCTTCGTAATGCAGTGTCGAATTGGCTCACCGTGCGTCGTGGAATTGCTAGTCTTCGGATTTCTCTTCTAGATAGTGTCCCGTCAGTGTTGTCTGGGCGCGCTGCCGCCTAACAAGTCATGATCTGATGCATGACAGCTTGCAATCATCAATGATACCATCACTCAAGTCATATATGCAGGTCTCATCTCGTCAACAAAACGCTGCTCTAAATCGCAGTGTGATTGACCTTTCACGAAACTGACCACGCAACGATACTGGCCTACTATACGATGTTTTACTTCATATCAAACACTACCATTCTCACAAAGCACCCTATCTACCACAGCCCCTCCCGTCGTTCTCAGAAGGGTTTCGACTTCTTATTCTCCGGGCGCTTTCATCGCGAGTCCTGTGCTGCTGACCTTCGCGGTGATCACGTTCCCGATATCCTGGTGCGTCTCTAGATGTACCTCGTTCGCGTCCTGGACTGCTTGATCGACTTCGGTCACGTCGTTCGCGATGGGCATCATGATCATCCGCTTGCTGTCGCGCGTGGCGGGGCATGGAGACATCGTTGACATGACGTGGTGGTGGGGGAGGCGGCGGCGGCGGCGGGCGCGACGGATATGCCCGATGCGTTCTTCGCGGACGCTCACCAGAGTATTGGGACGAGCTCGGAGATGTTTGAAGATCCCCATTGTTATAGGGTCGTCCTGTAGGATGCCTGTGATGAGTATTTACACCTTTCCCCTTGTCGAGGTTCGTGGGGCTTTGGGCTTGGACACTGTTTTGCCAGTCAGAGATCTCGCTTCTTCGTCTTCCCGCCTGCCTTTGTCGAGCGGGCTCTACCTCCGGTGCAGCTAACGGCAAGTTGTCGCCAGGTATATTCGCCCGGCCTCCGATTCTTCCGGCTTCGTTCTTTGACTCAGTCGCTCTAGGTGGCCTTTCGTTGTCCGCATCTGAATCGTCGTCGGGTACTAGCCGCCCTGCATCTGTCCACACTTTGGCTAGAATCTTGTCTATGTCGGCCCATGCCTTCCGCCACCTGTTCAAACCGCGCGCAAGATCCCTATCGTAGTTCGCTATCGTTTCATCCATGATACCTTGGTTGGCTTTCGTTCGCTCGACACTTTGGGCTAACATCTTCAAAGTCTTCTTTTGGAACTCGGTCGGCTCTTTGTTTGGCTGTATTTCTGCGCACTTGGCGTTGAAGCGATGAGTGAACGACTCCAAAGAACCTTTGTTATCGGCTTGCTTCAAGCGCGTTTCGTGCTTCCATCTTTTGACGTCCTGTACTGCATGAATGTGACCACGACCTAATGCAAGAGCGGTCTGAATCTTCTTCTCAAGCTCTTCTGTTAGAACCAATGCCAAAGCCTCGCGTCTACCATCTCGTACTCTCTTGAGCCGCGGCCGCAAGGTACTCGATCCCGAGCTGTGTGCCGTTGGATGCACCCATATCTGACAAGCTCTTTCGGAGAAAGTCGTATCCAATTCTGCATCGTCGTACATGGCTATCGTCTTGGAAGATAGGATTCGTTGCGACAAGATGCGCGAAGCTTCCCTGCTTTTAAGCATCATGGCAAAGCTAGCAGATTTCTTTGACCGCAACGCTGCTTTGTAAGTTGACAACAAAGGTTTGCTTAGTACTATCAGCCACGCTACTTTCAATATATTCATTATGGAAGACTTCACAGTGTACGACTGCACGAGTTGATTGGTTATTGCAAGATACCATCGTCCACGTACATCCCAGAACTCGGAAGTGGGATCTAGATATACACCAAGTTCTCGAAAGCAGCCAGTTCTGTATCAATTAAGGATGCCCACTAGGTTGGTTCCATCCAAGGGGCAGTGGCAGTGGCAGACACAACTACTAGATGATCACACTACATTCACTCACTCGTTGCACGGATCGTCCCAATGCAGCAGTGCACTACGTCAGGAACTTTCTGGTTACGATGAATTTTTCCACCCGGAGGGGGCAGAGCTTGCGCTACTGTTGCGAATCACTGCGCTGAAATCGACTACATCAAGTGCGCATTTCACTGATCCTTCCCAGATAGACCTTTCTACACAAACTAATTCTCAACCGAACCCTCAACCGAAATATCACAACTGTTTCGATCATTACACCTACCAAAGCCCTTTAACACTTGCGCATCCGCCAAACATGTCGGGTCGTCGTGGTCATGAAGGTAAGCCTTTCCCCTCTACAACTTCCAGAACTATCCTAATCAAGACAGACAAAGACAGTCCGCAAGCATCACGAGTAACACGCCCTAGAGGCTATGTAGCGAACTCTGGTCAGATCTTCGATGAACTCGAGGAGGTGGTCGTCGCCGATTCGGAAAGCTCGACACTGAGCCCGGCCAGCCCTCCCTCGCACTCTGAACAAGAGATCGAGCGCGCACCGCAGCCGACTCACGCCCCTTCTCCACAACCACAACGGGAAGCACGCGAAGCGAGTGTTGATAGCCAAGACGGGTATCATACACCTTCGGAGTTCCCCGGGGAAGAGCGCGAACCTGCTGCTAGCTCCCAAGAGCAACCTACACGCGAACATGGTAGGCAAACCACCAGCCCTTCGCCATCCGAGCTTCAGCCTCGTCCGGGTACCAACACAGCTCCTCCACTATCTCGTCAAGAAGAGCGTAGCTTAGTCGCCATTCCCCAAGACCAGACCGCACAGCTTCATGAAGCGCGGGAACAGATTGCCAATAACCGACGCGACGTACATGCGACTACCGTTCGCCCACCGTCTGAACACCCTTCTAAAGTCGAGCGCAGCCCTGGTGGTAGTAGTCGTGAGGATCCAGCATACCAAGATGTCGTCGTGCGAGAGCCACCCCTAGGCTCCACCGATGCACCTATTACCATTCCACGAACAGATACCGAGCACACATTCAAGACAAGCAAAGTCATGCAGTTCCTAGCAGCGTATGGAAGCGCACAACAAAGGCCAAACCTCATCGTTGACTTCAGTACACCACTTGGTCAGAGGCAGATGCTGGCTCTCATTCAAGACTTCGCTTCTTGGTGGGCTTCCAATGGCGGTTGCATAAAGCGCGGAAATCTTGGTCTCGAAATGCCTGACCTTGCCGGGCTCTTGTTCCCGCAATATGATGGCTTGACAACGATGATCATGTCTAAGCAATCCACTCATGTACCACAACCCATCCGGCAACGTCTCGACGAGGTGTTTTGGGAAGGCATGCTCTTTTGGTTTCGTACTTCCGAGTACGCGGTGGACCCAAAACAGGTCTTGGGGGACAAATGTGGCTTGACTGCGCATGGCAAAGCTCTCTCAGGATGGAGGATTTGCTTAGTCCAGAAAGTCTTCCCCAACGTAGTCCTAGTTACTTGGGGCCGGACTTCTCAAGGCCATGATCTGGACAAGATACACCCTGGGAACCGTTGGCAATTCATGCGACTACTTCCATTTGACCGTCGAGGTTGGCCCGAAGATGTTTTAAGGAAACATAGCCCCCATGACAATATCCTCATGCATCCAAAGGAAGATGAAGGCTGGTCAGTCCAGGAGTTGAAGACACATTGCAACTTCAATGTACTTGTTGCCAACGAAGTCATACCCACTCAGGGTTTCATATTCGCAGGATATCTCACAGACGACAGTCTTGGTATGGTTAAGTGGGTTCGCAATGCCGCTTTTGTTGGGCTTGCCGAGCTTAAGTACATGCCTCCAACCCCATCTGGAGTCGACGAGGATGCAGTACGGCGAGGTTTGGAGAATAACCACTATCCGCGGCAGCAACCAACCGGCTCTATCAAGCCAAAGCTGTTCCCTGCAGCGTACCGAATGCCAGCACCTCCCCCGTACGTCCCAGCACCGGGAGGAGAAGTGTTTGCCTTCCAAGATGCACCTTCATCCCCCCAGATCCCTACTGGTCCTCGTGGCACAGGTGGCGGTAGGCCTCGCAATCGTCCCGCACATGGTCCTGGAAGGCAACGTAGTCGGTCGCGAAGTCCACTACCTCGTGAACGTCAAGCTGACCGAAACGGAGACTATGCTCGAGGTTACCCTGGTAGATCAGCGCAACCTGATCAACCCAATCATCAGCAAGAAGGCGACGACCGCCCTGCCGACACGCGTCTCGGCGACAATATCAACCGTCCTGTCTTCATGCCAGTGAACAACGTGATGCAAGATGGAAGATATCAGCCTCACGTTATCCATAACCATGCGTCGCGCGATCACGACGACAACCGCAACCCCGAGCGTGAGAACTACGAGGACGATCGTGGCCGTGACAGAGCTGAACAGGGTGGCGCGTACCAGCATCCTGAGCGGCGCGATCACGACCACGACCAGGACCGCGGTCCCGAGCGTGAACACTACGAGGACGATGGTGGTCGTGGCAGGCATGAGCAGGGTGGTGAGTACCAGAACGGGGATTTACTCAACTATGGTTGAGAGTACAAGAGGCCTCTCGTACGAAGAAGCTTCTTTGTTACCCTGGCATCCGAATCCGAAGCACGTATATGGGTCGATGTCGGTATCTCATCTCAAGAGGTATTCTCGATATACCTTACGCTGAGCTTCGATTGAAGAAATGGGCTTGTTACCACCGAGATATAAAGCGAGGCCTTGTTCATTGTAAATGATGTAGAACAATGAAGTGTGGGATTCTTGATGGCGCGATGTGCTTTGTTTAAGCTTTTGTTATCGATGTTCCTTGACGACCGAGGGACGAGACGATGTCCGCGTGGTTCTTTGTGTGATTTCCTGATTGCAAGACCCCTACGTTATATGACCTCGTTGTTCAAAGTGCAGTATATGCGAGCTTTAACAGGGTTATCGCAACGTGATAGCCTTAGTCAATCCTTGGTGTTCGTATGATAACTGCGTTGACGATGGTCCGACGAGCCTAATTGCTGCGGCCGCAACATCGGCCGACAGCTGTCGGGTGTTGGTTTCAAACAAATTCTAGGCCTCGTCGCATCTCGAGTTGAGGTCCTCATAGATTCGTATAGCCTTTAATTTGGGACAAGTGAAGTCTTCGGACTCTGCTGGCGCGGCGGACTCGGGACTCAAAAGTGCGAATAAAGACGTGTTCTCGTGGGCTTGTATCCATACATGTCGCATGCGACGAGAGTTGAGGCGCAGAAGGAACGATATTCATCTGAAGGGCGAAGGCGTGTGCGATGGCCGTTTCGGTTTTGATATAATGAGAGGGAAATGGAGTCGAGGGGCGCAGGGGCGAGAACTCCGAGATGATCGCCTGAAGCTAACCCGAAGACGAGGCGCACGGTGACACTAAGCACATGTCATGACATCACTCATAGTCTTGCAATAACCATTCCCAGGTGTTCTCTTTCTTCAATTTCACGATCGAGGTTACATGCGCATCAATGTGATTACGTTAATTATCTGCGACTACATACGATAGTGTGAACGTGTTGAGTCAGGTCGCAACAGCGACGTGCTACCAGATCAATGCCTGAGACATGTTACTCCTCCCGGAACCAAGGATCATGAACAACAGCATTCGCTGATGCCCTCGCGGAAGGCTCCATCCGTAGCATGCTTCTGATGAGTGTGCCGACATGCAAAATGTCTTCTCGGCTCATATCCTGGCGCCTCTCCCCATCAAAGTACATTTCCTCTAACCATTCTTGGAGTGAGCTAGTGGGATCGCTCTCATCCAATGTTTTTTCCATGGCATGCCAATCCGTCTTCCAACGATCCGGAAAATCGTCGCTGACTGTCTCGAGCATTTGGCGCACAAGGGTTGCGGGTGTTATCATGAAGCTGTCAAACGGCGGCTGTCCGACAATGAGCTCGAAAAGCTTGATACTATGTCAGCTATCCATCGCTAGGGCTTGCATGGCAGAAGTCGGACTCACCAAACAACCCATACTCCAGAGGTCTACGCGATAATCCACCTTATCTTTGAAGATAATCTCCGGGGCGCGAACAGGAAGCGGAGTACGCAGGGCGCCAGGGCACTCGTTGTTTAAGAAAGATTGACCAAAATCAATGATCTTGATCGAGCTAAAGGATGACTTGATGTCTTTAGGGTAGGAGGTAGGTCTAACGAGATATCGAGGCATATTAGGTCCTATTGGCTGACCATCCCTTCTTTGTACAGCGCCTGTTTCGGGCCGTCCCAGCGTTTGGAGGAAAACTTCTTCTCGCAAGGCTTGGAGCGAAGGGATCGTGAACGCTAGGTTGCGGGTGTGCAGATCTAAGAACTATTAGCAGTGCTGATATGAATACTGACATCATGCCGTACCTGCATGCGCAATTCCTCGCTCGTGAAGGAAGCACAAGCCAAGCAAAGCTTGTCTCGCGATAGTTCTCGCAAGCTTACCGGGAAGCCTTTCCATGGAATGCGCGTCGAGGTAATCGGCCACACTTGGTCCCAACAACTCCAGCACCAGGCACTCGTGAGTTCCATTTGAACCAATAATCTGGAAAGAATCTGTCATTGTCATGAAATGCTGGTAGCCAGAGCGATTCGATTGCGCCGCCGCTATCGTACGCAAGACTGCAGCCTCTCGATTCTGATGGTTTGTCTCAGATACCGATATCTTCAGAGCGACGTACGTTTGGTTTCTAGTAGCATCTCAGCTCAAGTTGTCAGTGTTTCGCAGAAAGCGGGACCTGGTATCGCGCGCAGCCCAGACAGTCGAGTATCCGCCCCAGCCTAATTTGTGCAAGACTTTGTATCTGCCATTGCCCAAACGGTCTCCCAGGTGAACGGGGTGATATCCACCCCTTTTGTAACGATGCAAAGGCTCGGCATCAATGTCGCAAATATGTGTATTCCAATCCATCGGTGGACCACGCTGAGGCTGTGCGTGTGTAGATGAAAGTGAACGTGTAGACGCGATTGCCGTCATGGACGATTTGTTTACGAGCCATTTCTGAACCAATATGGTGCGAGATCGAATGCTTATCCTGGCGACACTCATGCTTTCGTTCACGTACTTGTATTGAGTTGTGAGAGGTGTCTAGCTACTAAATGGTGGTGTAAAGATCAGACCCTTGAGAAGGGACCCGTGGACGCCAAGAAATTACGGCAGGGCCGCGAGTTGAGCCGGCGCGCGTTTCGAGCCACCCAACCACCACCACAACACAATCGTCCGAACTTCAGCGTGCCACAACTCCGCCAATACTAATTCGATTCAAAAAGCAATTGAAGCATTCGATTCGCGCAAACAAGGCGCAGATTTCAACGAAGACCGGAAATGAGCTCATAGTCGCACCTCCCACGCGTGATCACACCTGCCGGGCGGCATTTCAACACGGACGAAAACAGGAAAGACTCGTCTGGGGTTCAGACTACCCTCCGCATCCAATAGCATAACTAAATCTAACACAAACTCTCGACACGACCTTGATACGGCTCGAAAAAGTCGCGTATCGACAATCTCATGGACTCTGGAGTCCTTCCCGCAGTTACCTGCACACATGGCTCTTCCTGAGCCCAGCCATCAGCTGTCGCAACTTCACACGTCGAGGATTCACTCTCATCCGTTTGAGACTCGCCTAATTTTCGAGCTTTCCTTTCACTCAGTTCGTGATTCTCCCGCTTCCGCTTATTGCCACTGGGGCGATAAGGCAAAGCTTCAGACGGTTCAGTCGGCTTTGGGGATGGCGTGTCTCTCTTGTTGTACTCCAGCGCTAATTGTCTCAGGCCATCTTGGAAGTCCTGAGCCTGTTGCAACATTGGTACGGAGGGGTTAATGACTTGGCCTGCCAATGCTTCGACGCTGTCTTCGATGCTTATATCGCTAAACGGATGCTCGACGTCATCTGCCATGATTGCTGCTGGCACAACGTCGCGTACAGAGATTTGGCTATCTCTGTCTCGATAGTCATCTGGTCTATTCCAGTCAAGAGTCGGTTTCGCTGTGATCTCTAGACGGGCTGGGGTGATGTCGCATGTATCGCAATTGGATTCCTCCATGCGCCACAGTTCAGCGTCACTTTGAGCATGTGAATGAGATGAAACCGGCGAACGCGGACTCGCAAGACCATCGTGTGAATGCTCGGAAGCTCGGTCATGGTGTTGTCTACGGTCATGCCTTTGCGGCCGTGAGCGGGACTGAGATCGATGACGAGGTTGTCCACGACTTCGCCCATTGGAGTGTTCCTGCCTTCCATTTTCATGGGTATGAGGCTCTCTTCTACGATGCCTGGACCTGTTGTCTTGTCTTCGTGATCGAGAATGAGACCTGGATCGAAACTCAGTACGAGAACGTTGGGCACGATTGGGACTTCGTGATCTATCCTCCCGCCCATTTCCGCGGCGTGAGCTCCGATGTCTTCTGTCTCTGGATCTTGAGTGAGCGCGCGGCTCTCGGCGTCCCTGCCCCGCAGTACGCCGCCCAGATAGTTGCTCAGGTCGATATCTCCGGATCTGGCCAGCGTGCGTCCACAGGCGATCGAGTTCTTGCTGTACTTCAAACCAAGCGTTTATCCATCTCGCCTTTCCTGACTCTACTCCGTCTTCGTGCCTTTGGCGCTGACGTTGGTGATATTTAATAGTCTGTCGACACTTTTTCCGCTCTTCAAGAAGATCTTGTAGCCTATTGCGTTCTGCGTCAGTTGCTCGACCTGTTTTTTTCACCCTCTTCTTTGTAACCTCGATCAAATGCTCCAGCTCCTCTTCCCAGGCCTCGGTCCTTGCTTCATTCTCAAAACGGACCTTCACTTCCTCAGCGTACTTTTCCGGGGTGGTCCAGTACGAGTGGGCGATACATAAGGCATTTTGTATTTTCTCCGCCAGTGATTCGGATAACACTAACGCATCAAACGCATCTCCTCCGTCCCGTATACCGAGGAAATATGCTGGGTCAGTGGTACATCTAAGTCTGTCTCCATCGTACCTCGTCCACTGGCGATTGATCGTCTTTAATTCATTGGAGTGAGGATTAGGATCGTAATCTGGATAAAACAGGTAATGATGGTCCATGTCGGGCGGCTGTAGAATGAATGATGGCATCCTTGCGCAAGATATAGGTTCTATAGGTTCTATGGGTTCGAACAAAGGAGTTTATCACTCTACCACGTATATCCGGATTGGGATAACGTAGTAGGCCTACAACAAAGATAGCAATTTTCTTTCATTGTCATTTTGGTTGATTCGATTTTCTTTCACTCTGGTAAGGCCATTCACATCCGTTGGTCTTCGCCAAGGCCCAGTCTTGTCAGCAGCAATAAGGAACTAGACTGGATTCGTGATATACAGCGTCCGTGAGCACGTACCTGGACCTACGAAAGAGCAGGCGCAATTGCCTTCGATATTCACTGAGGTCAACGCGGGCGCAATGCCTGCCCCTACTTCAGTGGCTGCAGCCATGAAATCACAGGCAATACCACTCTACCCGCAGAACGATCTCAACCCCTTACTGGCAGAAAAAAGGTATCAACTGTCACTATGCCTGGCCAACGTGAGCGCCCAAAGCCGCCTTCAGAGCCTCACAGCCGGGACTCTCCGCAGCATGAAGCCGACGACGGTCCACAGTATGATCGAGTACCGGCACGGAACCATGATCGCGGTTACGACGAGCGTGAAGAGCACGGAGACCGGTACAGGGAAGACGACCTGCCTCTCGACTATGGCGAAGGAGAGCCCCGTCGTCAACCTCAACCTCGACCTCGAGACCGGTCACCACCTCCACGCCCCCGCAGTCGAAGTCGGGGTCGAGACTACTCCAGAGAACAACCTCGTGGCGGGCAGCAAGACCGAAGATCCCCCAGTCGGCGGCGAGACCGAAGATCCCCTAGTCGGCGACGAACCCAAACCGAAAGAAGGCCTCACCGACCTTACAGTGCTGAGCGCGGTCAGGGGCGAGACCCGCGCACGAGACGATCTCGCTCTCCCGGTACTGAGCGCGCGCCGAGACCGCAGACACCACAACCACTTGCTCATCCTCCTCTTCCCCAAACTCGCGGTAGGGGCTATACCGTCATCGATCACCGTACAGGAATTGAACACGTCTGGACCCCTGAGTACGGACAGTCTCGCGGGTCTTACACGGATTTGACGAAGGAGTATCTCGCTACCGACGTTGTTTCCGTTCGCCTCTGTGACTTCTCATCTGACGACCAAGCGAAAATTGGACAGAGTTTCACACCGTCTTCACAAGGTATGATCAACGTGAAGTATGATGTGCCTTTCATCTTCAAACGAGTGGAGCGGGACTACGGCATTGGCTGGGTTGCTCACGGCTTCGGAGGGCGCGGATTGAAGAGAGCGCATTGGATACCAAAGTCGGAGCATGCAAAGTATCTGGGAGTGGCCAGTGATGACGATTCGTCCGGATCTCGAGGAAACGGTAGTCCGCATGAACAAATGAAGGTGCGGCGAACCCCAGGAGCAAGATTTCTCGAGAACATAAGTCATGTCTTCGCGGGTGAGTTGGTGAAAGTCACCTTCCCACGAAAGCCTTACTACTGGGGCCGGCTGACGCTTTGGGATTTCCACCGGCTGTGTTGCCTCAGTGATTTCCTCACGGCAGCTCCTGGGTCGAGCGCCGCCAATGAGGTTCCACCAACGATGGACTTCGACCACGGTGCGTTGAAAGAGCTGCGAACTGCGGACGACTCTTTGCCCAAATACATGAGAGATCATCTCGCGACTCTCGATGCTCTACACAAGCCGAAGCCATCCGATGACGACACGGACGCAGATGCCCGTCCGCCTGGGGCTCAGGCAGCACCGGATAACCGCAGTCCACCTCGCATCGGGCGCCCTGTTGCTACAGACGTTCGCTCGACAGCGCCCCAAGATCAGCCTCGACAACCTCCAACGAGGACTACGAACGCGCCGAGGGACCCAAGACCCCTGCCACCCACAGGGCCGAGGTTAAAGCGCTCGCGCGACGGTGATGATCCTCCGGCGCAGAATACCACCCGTCGACGGCGGGATTAGTAGAGCGCTTGGCAGGGCCCTCGAGGCGATGTGGGAGGAGCCGTGGGGGGGTATCCGTCTGCACTAGTCTCCAGTTCACAGTGAGCAGCGCATCACGCCAACCTAGGAAAAAACTGAACACTCTAGAGCCTACGTTGACGTTGGGTCACCCACTTTGCAGATTTTTGTCTTGATGTAGTCCGCAGGACTGTTCAGGTTTTTCCTTGTATGAGGTGGCATTGTGCTCAAGAAACAAAGCGGGGAGGAATGTGCCCAATGAGCAAAACGGGGCGGGCTGATCATCCAAAGAAGGCAAACTCTTTGTAGACAGATGCTCAAGTGATTCGGAGTAGAAAGAAGCGGGCTTTCTTTTGTTGCAAGACATGGGAGGCGGAAAAGTTCATGGCTGTTCGCCGTCGTCTTCATCGGTGAAGTTTGACGGGATTAACGCTTCATGGACGATGCGGCGCTCTAGACCTAGGGTCGGCTTTGTAATACGTCTCGGTTAGCCAACACAGTTGATGTGTGTATATAAAATGACATTATGTTGTATATGTGTCGATGCGTGAGGATAATCCGATGGTGGATAGCATTTTGCGAGAGAGACGAAAGTTTGCCGAAAAGAAGTAGGGTGCTTGCTACAGAGAAGGGAGCAAGCGTCGAGCTGCAAGCAATCTGATGGACATGGAGTGGAAGCTGCGAGCCATCAAATGAGGCGAGGTAGCGAAGGTTAAAGGTGGAAGGGTGCCCAAGCGACGATGCGGCTCCTTGCCCGCCAAGACCCCCGGAGATTGCCGGCGCCGATCATCACAACTCAAGGAAGCATCGCTCGTGAACTTCGACAACTGCGCCAGCTTCTTCTCTACGGGCCGTACAGCATGCCCTGTGTAGTCGCTCGTCACTTACCCGTCTCTTTCGTATAGACTATAGATCTCCGTCCACACTAGCGCGTACACAGCTCCACCGCTTCCGCCAGCCACCGTCGCGCGCATTCGATGGGTATCTGCTCGTCGTGCCTGGGAGGGCGAAGGACTTCTGAGTCTGATGTAAGGCCCCGGGGATATCATACTGCGCTACACAAGTACTTACCCTTCTTTACAGAACTCGGATGCCTCGCACCTTCTCGGAGATCAGTACCAGCCCAACTATGGCACTGCCAACAGCACCCACAACGCGCCCCAGCCAGACCCAGAGGAGCTTCGACGTCAGCGAGAGAATCTGGAGCGAATCTGCGCTGAAACCAATGAGTGAGTGCCGCCTTCCTCATCTTTGAGCGTTCCTTCCCACGAAGTCGTTCGCACCTTCCCACAAAGGAGCCCGCACCTTCCAAGTTACGGGCCACAAAGTCCCTTGGGGGTTCCCCATCTTCAGTAGGACATGACGCTGACCACGTACAGGCAACTGATCCCCGTCTCCCAACCGAGCGCCCTCCCGGAAGTCACCGAACAGCCCTCCAAGAACGACGAATACGCACATCTCTTCAACGAGCGCTTCAAGTCGATACGAAGCCAGCGCCCTTCCTCCGCCGGTAACGACGATGACGACGAGACGACATGGCTCGAGAACGCCATGGGCAACCAGGGCGAAGATGAGCTGGAGCAGATCAAGCCGGCCAAGGGGAAGCTGACGATTCAGTTCGGTCAGCGGTAGACACCTACACCGAGGGTTTCGAGGACGGCGATATCCTTCGACCCTGTACGGGTTCTCTTGCTGAGGCTATACGCACTTTTTCATTGCTTGTCGCATTCTGCATTGCACCAGCGCCTTTACGGATACCCATAATCTTTTCCTTTTGTTATTTTTCTGCCTCGAAAGGAGGTCGTTTACGTACGTTTTCTCAAGTAGCATAATCATGTCTGCATCGAACGTCTTCTCGTCTCCTTTCGTTCATGTCTTTCAAGAGTCAGTCCGGCAATGCCGTTATACGAGGCACGTTCTTCTTCATTACTCATTTGATGCAATTGGTTTCTAGATACATGCTCCTACGACAGTACTTCGCTATCCTAGGCGAATGCCAAGCTGGCCAGACGAAGCCAACCAATGCCAACTTGCTATCCATGTGTTTGGACTGGTGCAAGTCCCGACAACTCTGTCTATCGCTGAAGATATATCAATGCAAGAAGGAGGCCAAGGTAATCATCGCTCAGGCCAATGCAACACCATCACCGCCATCACCTACCCTAGACAGCCTTGAACAGCAAGTCCGGAGGACCAGTCGCAGGCTTCTCGTCACTCACACCCAACTCCGCCAGCATACTGCCAGCGCGCTCATCCATCAACTTGGCCAACTCCTCCCGAAACTTCTCGTCGATGAAATCAAGACGCAACTTCAAGCCTGGCTGTACCGTGCGCTGCTTCTCCGGATCGAGCTTCTTAAACGTCTTCTTGCCCCAGACCAACGCGGCGCTCTCCATGGCGTTGAAAAGGGCCTTGTTATCGTCTCCGTCCATGGTGTCGGCGTTGAGGTACTTGGTAGCCATCTGCTCGACGAAAGCGCCAACGGTACATTCATTAGCAGCCTGATCAGCCTCGTTCTTCGTCGTGTCAGCTTTTTCGTCGTCGATCACAGCTCTATACTCGTTACTTACGCTCTGCTCAGCCAAAGATGCCACAGTCTCTTCTCCAGTCGTCTCGCCTGACTGGTCTAATCCCATCTTCTCACGGAGATGCTTCTGGATGTACTTGTACGTCTCACCCTGTGGCCTCGGTACACCACCTCGCTTGATGATATCGGGGATCCTCGAGGCAGGGTTCGACAGGACGGGGTTTTGACGACTCAACAACGGCTCTTCGTATGGTCCGATGGCAGCATCATAGAGGTCTGGATCGCCCTTGTAGTCGCCGCCTAGGTAGCCATTCGACCTACCGCCGCTGCGCACACTGCCGTCGACCGGGTCCGAGTGCGGGGATGGTGGATCTTGATAGGTTGGAGCGGTGGTTGATCGTCGAGTCGCGCGTGTGGCAGGCGGTGTCCGGGTAGCGGTAGCGAGGGCGCTCTCGGCGAAGGTGAGTTCAGTTTTGCGCTTCTTGCTGGGTGTGGGTGAGTGATCGTCTGGCTCGAAGTCGTCTTCGGATGAGATCTCGTCGACCTCACTGTCAAGAACAACCGGCTTCTTCCTGATCGAGCGCTTCTTCGCTGACGACTTCTGTGCAGACGCAGTAGTCTCCTTCGGCGCGGACTCGACTTCCTTCTCCTCTTCCTTAACTTCATCATCCTTCTTCTCTTCGCTCTCACGTACGGGTGTGCTGCTCGCCACCGGCCTACGCCTCACCGTCCTACCTGCAGGAGTAGTACCGGCGCCAACCCCAGCCGCACCTGGCGTCGCCATATTACCATGAAGAAGACCTTTATTATTCTTAACCCGCTTCTCATAGCACGGCTGACAGACCTGAAACGTACAGCCAGGACAGCGGCGCATAGTATCCATATTCCGCTGATCGCACTCAGTGCACTTGGCCGTATGGACAGTCACCCTACTAAACAGCGTCTCGTCGACAGTGCAGGGCTGGATTGCCGATGATGCTCCTGGAGTGCGGGGCGCGCGTGTGGGGAACGGGCTGCTGGATGAACGTGGGGTGTTGGGGAGGAGGGGGCGGTTACGTCGGCCTGGTGTGGACGGTGCGGGTGAAGGCGCCGGTGCGGGTGTTGTTGCAGTTGGAACCTTAGCGTGAAGGCCCGCATCTGGACCTGGTGTCGCTGGAGGATCCATGGCGCCACGTGGTGAGCCTTGCTCTGCTTGCTCTGGTGGGGGTGGGGGTGGGTCGGGTGCTGTGTCGCTCATGTTGTTTAGTCGCCTTGTCCTTGCGGAGGATGAGTGTACTGGAGATTGTATCGCAGTACTTTGAACTGTTGATGTGGACGCTGGAAGAAAAACACACGGTGGGGGATATATACTCCCAAGATCTGAGACTGAAAAAGGGTCTCAGTAGTCGCCTGAGACTTGTCGGTGACTCGCCGCTTGGACCGTTATATCCTGATCCAGGTCTGTAGGAGAGAGACTGATTCAAAAAGGTATTGAGTACAATAGGTGTGGACGGTAGAAAGCAAATGTGAAAAAGGCGCCCACTTCTGATCAATCCGATAGAAGTTGGTGCTTTACGCTCGGGCTAACGCGGGGCACAATGACGCGAGAT